CCCAGTTTGGCCCTGAGTCTGCGGCCCCCTGTCGAGAGCGAAATGGACAGGGATGAAGGCTAGAAAGAGCGAAAGAGAATCGAAGAGAAAACAACTTCCACTCTAGAGCCGTGCTAATACGACAGCCACTAGCCTTGTGAGGCCTTTCCATTTCAATAACTAAAACTCGATAAAATGCAAAATTCAGGATTTTTTTTTTTTTTAATTTACTTATTTAGTTTGAGGTGGGGGGTGGAGGGCAGAGAGAGAGGGAGAGACCGAATCCCAAGCAGGCTCCGCGCTGTGGGCGCAGAGAGCCTGACCCTGGGGGTGGGCTCAATCTCACGGGTTCGTGAGCCGAAATCAAGAGTTGGCTGCCTAACCGACTGAGCCACCCAGGCACCCTGAAGACCTCAGGACTAAAAGAATTCTGGGCTCGGGGAGCCTGGGTGGCTTGGTCGGTTAAGCGTCCAACTTCGGCTCAGGTCATGATCTCGCGGTCTGTGAGTTCGAGCCCCCGTCGGGCTCTGTGCTGACAGCTCAGAGCCTGGAACCTGTTTCAGATTCTGTGTCTCCCTCTCTCTCTGCCCCTCCCCTGTTCATGCTCTGTCTCTTTCTGTCTCAAAAATAAATAAACGTTAAAAAAAAAATTTTTTTTTTTTTTAAATAAAAGAATTCTGGGCTCTCTAGATTCACAACTCGACCCTGTTCCTAGGGCGTGAGGATTTGGGAGTGGAGAGCCGATGTGGCTCAGTCTGGGCCAAATCCAGCGGGATCTTCAAGCCTGTCTTCATCTTGCCCTGCTTCCTGCCGCTGCCAGCCTGTCTTTAACCCCCAGGAGACTGCTGCCAGCCCCGATTGTTCTGCGCGGGCACCCTGTTCAGCCCGCTACAGGGTGCAAGCATGTATGGTCTCTGCCAGGGTTTGTGATTTATTGGGAACCCCCATGGTTGTGCGGTATGATCTCTGCTATTGTCATCAGCAGTGAGCATAACGCACATTTATTGAGCCATGCTTTGGCCAGGTCCTGTGCTAAGGGTTTTGCACGCATCATCCTGGGGACTCAAGGTAACTCCTTGCGATGTAGGTGCAATTGTTCCCATTAAAGATAGGGGGCTGAACGCTCAGAGTTTAAGGAACTTTCCCAAGTCTGGCAGCAGGTGGGCGGTAGAGCTGGGATTAGAACTCTGACCGGCTGACCCCAGAATGCTTGATCTTGATCTGAAACTGCCGCTTTTTATCTTTAAACTCTAGCCTCTTCTCTGTGGCCTACAGCAATTTCATGTCAGTCTTTTTCCTGTCTCTCCATTCCAGTCGTTGGCCTTTTGGCTCAAATATACCAAACTCAACTCTTGCCCCAGGACCTTTGCACATGTTTGTTCCTCCCAGCCTTCCCTAGATTTGCACACGGCTGCCTCTTTTTTTTACGCTTTAGGCTTCACCTCAGAGAGGCCTCCCTCACTGTGCTATACAAAACAGCCCCTTTTCCATTACGCCCATTGCTTTACTCTGCTTTATTTTTATTTATAACATGTCTCACTTGTCGGTTCACTTACTCATCTATTGTTCTGTCTCCCTCACTAGAATGTAACTCCCTGTGTTCCCGTCTGTCTTCCTAGTAACCGGCACAGACCAGGGGCTCAGAAAATATTTGTTGAATGAGTAAATACATCCTGAAACAAACCAAGAGGAGATGAAGGGGGGAGGTCTTCAGGGATGAGAGTAACTTGGAGAGTCCTCTCTCCCAACTGGAAGCTGCTGTCTCCTAGCTGTCCAGACAGAAAGCCGAGGCAGAGGGGAGGCGGAGGAATGCTGAGCCCGAGCAGCAGCTCAGTGATAACAGCCCCACCTGGAGAGCTCGCTTTTTATGCTCCCCAAGCCCTTTCTCAGGTGACACACCATGGGATTGTCCAGGAGGTCAGCTGGGTGCTATAATCACCTCCACTTACCCGGTAAGAAGTCTCCCGACTGCCAAGTCAGGAGACGTGCCCCAGGCCAGTTTGACACAGGGGGCTGTGGAAACCCAGAGGAGAGACTCCTAACCAGCCTGAGGTCAGTGGGAGCTGCCCAAGCTAGAAGCGGGAGGGGACCTCCTCCAGGGGGTTTCAACCTTGGCTGCACATGGAAACCTGATATCTGGGCCCCTCTCCTAGAGGTTCAGATGTGGTTGGTCTGGGGTGCAACCCGGACGTTGGAATTTGTAAAAAGTCCCTAGGTATTATCTCTTGCTGAATAACAAATCATCACCACACTTAGTGGCTTAAGACAACAATAATCTTTTTTTTTTTTTTTTTTCATCTCTTTTATGGTTTCTGTTGGATAAGAACTCAGGAAGGGCTTGGCTTGGCAGTTCTCTCTGAACTTCTCATGAGGTCTCACCTGAAGGCTCGATAGGCTGCCTCCCCCGGGACCAGAAAGCTCAGACACAGGAACTGTCCTTGGTCACCAGTTCCCCCCCCCAGTGCACGCCTCTCAAACCACTTCAAGGCCAGGCTCCCCCTGCCAAAACAAAATACAGCCATGGGGTGCACAGAGGATAGGGAGCTGGTATCTGAGGCTGATTTCATCTCCGTTTCGAGCTGAGTGGCGAAAACACCGCCAAGGTCAGGGTGCTGCAGGAGGCACTAAAAGCTGCAGGCCTGTGGATGGGGCGAGATGCTACTGTTGCTCATGCTGGGTCAGGACGCGACCCTAAGGATCATCTAGCTCCCTTTCATCTGGGCACACTAATGACAGCTTGTCCACCTCCTTATTCTTTTTAAAAAAATTGCTTTAAAAAATGTTTATTTATTTTTGAGAGAGACAGAGACAGAATGCGAGTGGGTTAGGGGCAGAGAGAGAGGGAGACAGGCTCCAGGCCCCGAGCTGTCAGCACAGAGCCCGACGCGGGGCTCGAACTCACAAACTGCAAGATCACGACCTGAGCCGACGTCAGACGCTCAACGGACTGACTGAGCCACCCAGGCGCCCCTATCCTGTTTGTTTTAAGCTCCAGGGTACGTAGGGCAGAGGCAAGTTTGGAACACGCAAGGATCAGCAGGTCCTTTATCCAAGCATCTCAAATCTCTCCTAACCCCTGATTAAAGTTGTACATCTGAGAGAAGAATTCAACCATGACACCATTGTTGTTATTCCCATTTTAATGACAGGGAAGCTAAGGTCCGGCAGACTCCCTAGCAAGGTGTTCACAGAGTCATATGCTTCTGTAAAACTTGCCAAAGTAAGGTGTTTAAACCTCACTCTTTTTTTTTTTTAATTTTTTTTTCAACGTTTATTTATTTTTGGGACAGAGAGACACAGAGCATGAACTGGGGAGGGGCAGAGAGAGAGGGAGACACAGAATCAGAAGCAGGCTCTGGGCTCTGGGCCATCAGCCCAGAGCCTGACGCGGGGCTCGAACTCACGGACCGCGAGATCGTGACCTGGCTGAAGTCGGACGCTTAACTGACTGCGCCACCCAGGCGCCCCTAAACCTCACTCTGTTAAAACCACCTTCTCTTTCCATCCAGACTTCCCTTTGTGTCAGATGATGTCGGAGTGCGTGTGACCGTCTGGGGGATTTGGCCAAGGGAACCCTGACGTTTAGTACGGGCTTTGCGGTTTTATTTACGTTGTTTTCGGTCACTTTTGTGAAAAGTTATTGCCAACTGGTAATGACTTCCAGGAATACCCTTACCTAACACACTGAGGTGGCTGTGACATAAAGGTGCACCAGGGTGAAAGGTCATCTCTCTCTGTCTCTCTCTCTCTCCCTCTCTGGGTTTACAGTGCCAAATATCACCAGTATGTAGTGGAGGAGAGGTATGAAGTGTATACATGGAACCAGAGGAAGCTTGTTTGTGAAAAGTATCAGGGAGGTATGCCGAATATGTAATTCATAGAAATAGTATTATTTTCCTGGATTTTGCAACATTTGTGGAATTTTCATTTGTTGAGGTTTCTTCTGTCTTTCTAACCAAATCATCACTTTATTACCTAATTTTATATTTGTGATTTTGTAGGTCTTTCCTTAAATAGATCTCCCTAAATTGTACGAGGCTCAGGAAGTATGTAGTCGAAATCTGCCCCTGCTTTGTGTCTTTTGTTTGTTTTGTTTTGTTAATTTTTTTTTCAACGTTTTTATTTATTTATGGGACAGACAGAGACAGAGCATGAACGGGGGAGGGGCAGAGAGAGAGGGAGACACAGAATCGGAAACGGGCTCCAGGCTCCGAGCCATCAGCCCAGAGCCTGACGCGGGGCTCGAACTCATGGACCGCGAGATCGTGACCTGGCTGAAGTCGGCCGCTTAACCGACTGCGCCACCCAGGCGCCCCTGCTTTGTGTCTTTTGTGATCACAGGATCCTCCTTGCCTCCCCTCACTGTTGCTGCCAACACGTGTTGTATATTCACATGGGAACATAACAGAACGGTTGAGAGGACTCCTGCTGAATCCAGATAAACCATGCTTTTCTCATCTATAAAATGAGAAGGATAATAGAACCTCTCTTCTCACATGGTAAGGGAGTCAAGTGAGAAAATGTGTGTGAGGCCTCGAGCACAGTCTAGCAAAGGGCACAGTTAATGCCAACTTTGATATTTAGCTGCTCCTCCCAGATATAGTCAGACTTCCTGCTTCGGATGCTATCTACTCTGATTTGATTGGTGCTCATGCCAGAATGTGCAATCATTGTTAGCCATTGGTATACTATTAGTCCCCCGTCCCCGACCCGCCCAAGGTATTTGCACAGTGAGTGCTCAATCATTGAAAAGCCAATCAAAGAGTGAAGATCACCATCTGGACTAGAAAACAGAGGTCGGTTCCAACTTGAACAATGCCCTAGACCCAAATAGTGACTTGCAGTTATGAAATTTCCTTATCTTGAAGGGTGCTTAGAGTTAATTTATTCTAATCCTTTTAAAAAAATGTGGGGTTTTTTTTTCCCTTGACAATTTAAGTGTTGGAAATTGGAAAATCCACAAAAACACAAAAAAAGTTGACTGCTGTTATTATAAACGATTACACATAAACACATGATATTACAGTTATGTATTTAATACATAGTTATGTTGTACATAGTGCTTTGAAACATACTTTTAAAAAGCTTTCTTAGCATTTTCCTCATACTTTAAGTATCTTTAACTACATCATTTTTAATAGCTGCATAACATTCCTCATCACAAAGTGGGGTAATTAAAGGTTCCTATCTCAAAGGGTTATGCCATGAGCACTGACAAGAGTTATGTTATGTAAAGCTACCTGGCAGGTAAAAAGCTCAGTAGACTTAGCTCTTCCGCAGGATGGATGTATATAACCGACCTTCTTTTGCTGAGCATTGGAATCATTTCCATTCTTTTGCTATCGTAAATAACGCTAGGCTGCATTAATCTTTGCTCATATCTTTGGTCATTTCCTTAGTAAAGTTCGGGACTGCTGGATATGCACATTTTACAATTTACCACCGTGCAGTTAGGGAAACAGAGACGGAAAGGGGCTAGCCCGGGCTCACATAGCCAGCTGCAAAGTCGGAACTAGGGACTAGGTGGGGCCCCTAAATGGTGCCATAGTCTGTTGGGGACCTGGAGAAAGTCCTGGCAGAGCAAGGGAAATAACTAGGCTCCTGAGTTGCAGCGGCCAAGGGAAGAACAGGCCGGAGGGGTTGAGCCGGGGCGGAGCTGGGCTGCAGGGGCTGGACGCACTATCCCTGGGCTGAAGCTAAGCGGTCGCCTGGCAACCCGGATGGCGCGGCGTTCGAACGGAAGCGAGGAACCAATCAGGATGTCCGGGGCAAACCATTCCGGCGACGGGGGGAGACTGGCGAACTCACTTCCCCTTCCTCTGCGCCCCCCGGGCCTCCGCTCTGGTGGGGGCCTGGGGACAGTCAGGTACCCCGTCCACCTCGGGTGCGTAGAGCAGTTCCGAAGACGCCCCTGCGGGTCCTCATGCGGGGCTGGGGCCTTCCGAGCAGCGTTGGGCGCGGCCATTCCAACCTCGGGTCCGAGCTGTCAGCCTCTCTAGGACCCGTATTGGAGGAGCCAGGACTCTCCTAGCGCCGGCTCCAGGTGAGGGGGCGGGTGGTCTGGGGCGCGCGCTGGGGTCTGAGGGGCTCCGTGAGCGCCTGCTGTATGCGTCCTGCCCGCGTCGTATGTGCGGGGAGGAGTTGGTACCCCATTTCACGGATGAGAAGGAATGAGGTGCGGAGAGGCAAGTGACCTGGCACAGCGAGATCTGGTGGGGAATCCAGTTCAGGTCTTTCTGCTCCGCCTCGAAATCTCCAGTCGGGGTAGATCAGGATTTGCCTTGGGAGGCCCAGACACGCAGCTGGGGGTCAGCTTCTCAGCCTCTTAGCTGCAAGGCTGCCGAGCCCTGGTGCCCTGGCTGGATGATCTCCCTCCTGCCCCACTCTCCCGCGCAGTCCTCTGGGTGCCCCTTCTGGGCATCTGTCTTCCCTTCTCTGGAACGCCAGAGGGTGGACTCAAGGCGCGTTTGGGGTCCTTCTGCCCACGGGGTTTTGAATCCCAGTGCTGTCTCTGTCAGAGGGCTGTTTTGGGGGGGGATCCGAGGGGACTGACGTGTCTGGGGTAGATACTAGGTGGGCAGCAGGTGCTCTGGAGCCGCTTTTAGATTCTTGGGAATCTGCCCCAAGTTGGGGGAATGGGTAGAGGCAGCCGCTCAACCTGAAGCCACTAGTCACCAGAGACTTTGGAGTTGGGGACGGGGCCGCGATGGGTCCCAGTGGAGCATCTGACTTGGGCCGAGCCCTGCCTCCTGGGGATGCGCTGGGAACTCAGAAAGAAATGAACTCTTTCATTTAGTCTCTCAACAAATATTTATTGAGTTCATATGCCCTGCCCTCTCCCTTTTCTATTTTGTCTCTCTCAGTGGCATTTACCCATCTGATGTCCTATGGCTTTCAGTTATTAGGGAGCTGATTATCTTCCTCAGCTGGAATGCGATGCAGGGAGGGGCTAGGGTGAGGCAAAATTGAGGGGTGCCCAAACCTCTAATCAAGCTAACTAAAGCTAACAGTTATTGACCATTTGCTGTGTGTCCTGCTGGTGGAGATCGACTCACATGGTCTCTGTCACCATTACAAGCACATGCCCAGCCCAGCTGTCCCACTTCTAAGGCAACACAACGTCGGTGCGGTGACGCTGCTGGGTGGTTTGTAACAGGGCGCGTCTGGACACACACTAAGTGCTCATCAGCAGGGGCTGATAGGCTCCTTATGTACTGATGTGGCACCACAGATATTATTGAACAACGTATATTATTGAGTATATTAGTAACACATGTTATAATTAATAATATATTAACAACATTCTTAAAACAACACGTATTATTGAGTAAAAAGAGCAAGGTAAAAACAGTACGCGCAGCCTTTTGCCATACGTGTAAAAAAAAAAAAAAAAGAAAATATATGTCCATAATTGTTGCTTGTATCTGCCTCAAATCTCCCTGGAAGGACACACAGCTGTCTGGTTGCAGTGCTGATTGCAGGGAGGGGAACTGGGTGGCTGGGGATAGGAGTGGGAAGGAGTTTATTTTTACCTTATTCTCCTTAGAGTTTTTGTTGGGTCATGTGCATATATCACCTGGTTGAAAAATTATATATATATATATATATATATATATATATATATATACACACACACATACACACACACGTATATATATATACACATATATGTATATATATGTATATGCATATATTATATGTATAGATATGTGTGTATATTATATACATATATGCATATATGTATATATTATATACATATATGTATATATTATATACATATATATGTGCATATGCATATATGTATATATTATACACATATAATATATATGTCATTATAGATTATATATTTAATCATAAGACCACTGCCCTCTCTGTGATCTGTCATCGACTTGCTGTGTGACTTTGGGCAAGTTTCTTCACGTCTCCTGGCCAAGATAAGAAGCCACGATAGTGAGCTCAGGCCTGGGCAGAAGGTAATCCAGGACAGGAAGTGGGCTTGCCTGTGAGTTGGCCCCAACCTCCACCTTCCCAGCCTCGTGAGCCAGGCCCGTCTCTAAGGCTTTGCATGTGGTCTCTCTCCGTCTCCACCGCAAGCCCCTCTGTCCCCATTTTGCAACTTGAGGTACAAACAGGCGCAGCTAATTGGGTTGATGGAGTTGGGCCGAATAGGAGATCAGTGCTCCAGGCGTTTTCCCCCCCCCCCCCCCCCTTCAGCCCGCTCACCTCTCCCTTGCTGAGATGTGTGCCAGGGTGCCCTGGGCAAGGCTGGTTCTGGGCAAGGCTGACTGCAGGCAGGCCAGGACATGAGAGTCTGGGGAGACTCCAGAAATAGAATGGGGCCTGCCGTGGCCCTGGAGGATGCCCAGCTGGGTGTCTCTGACCTGGACAGCTGGGCTGAAATCGAGCTGGGCTGCCCTATTGGCCCGCCCCTTCTCTGCTGCCTGGAGCCTTCCTGATCCTTTTCTGGGGCAGGTGAGGGCCACCCTGTCTCCACCCAAGTCAGGGCCTGGCTTCTAATGAGCAGCAAGAGAAGGAGGTGGAAGGAAGGGGTGGGGTGGGGGTGCAGAATGTCATGAAAATTGTAAACATCGAAACCACACCTCTTGCCCCCTAGACAAAGAATAAAAATCACGAACGCCTCTCGAGCACTTCCCTCTGCCAGGTACTTTATGAGCATGTGCTCGTTTGATTCTTGCAATTCTGTGCTGTTATTTTTTCCACCTCACAAAGGGAAACTGAATGCAGGAGAGGTTGAGTGACTTGGGCCAGGTCACCCAGAGCAGGAGTTCCGATCCAGGGGGTCTGACCCAGACTTTGTGCTCCCTCTTTTTCTTCTCTTGGTAAAATGTATATAACATAAAGTCTCACATCTTAACCATTTGTTAAGGGTTCAGTTCAGTGGCATTAAGTCTGTTCGCACTGTGGTGCAACCATGGTGATTCTCTTTAAAAAGTGTTCCTAACCGTCATACTGTTTTCACAGCAGTTACACTGGTGTATTGTATTGTATTGTATTGTATTGTATTGTATTTATTTTACTTTGTTTTATTTTGTTTTATTTTTTGCACCATTTTATATTCCCACCAACAGTGTTCAAGGGTTCCAGTTTCTTCACATCCTCACCAACATTTGTTATTTTCTGTTTTTGGGTTTTTTTGTTTTTTTGTTTTTTGGTTTTTTTTGTTTGCTTCTATGTTTTGATATTGTCATCTTAATGGATGTGACATGTTATGTCATTGTAGTTTTGACTTACATTTCCCAAATGATTCATGATATTGAGCATCTTGTCATGTGCCTATCAGTCCTTTGTACACTTTCTTTGAAGAAATGTCTGTTCGACTCTGCATGCTTGGATTTGCAAACTTTGAGAAAAGTGGGGGGTCAACGTTCGGGGTGATGAAGTCCTCACCCAGGAGCTGGGCACCGGAGTATCACATTTCGGTGGCATTTGTCACGCACAGGTTGGGAGAGGGGCACTGTTACAAGTCCTATTTTACGGCTGGGGAAACTGAGGCACGGGAATGTCGATGATCTTACCCAGGAGCTCAGTGCTACTCCGGGGGAGTTGGGATTTGAACCCTGGCAGGCTGGATGCAGAGTCTGTGCTATAAAGGTGGCCCTAGGGCTGGAGCGGGGAAGGGCACTGTAGGAGCAGACCCCAGCCGTGCAAAAGTTTGGATGTGATGTCTTTGGAGGAAGAACGGGGCTCATCTGAAGTGGCCGGAGCCCAGCTTGAAGGGGGAGGCTGGAGGGGAGGGGGAGAGATGGGGGAAGCCCTGGGGTGAGGCAAGAGGTTTGGAGGAGGCTTGGTGGTGAAGGGCCTTTGTCTCTGAGGTGGCCCGGTTTCCACTCCTGCCACTTAGTCAATGGTGTGCCGTGTGCACACCTGTATGCTTGGTCCCGGGACAGGATGAAAATACAGAAATAGGAAACGAGTGATCAGTAAGTGAATATGTAAAACGACAGGGTGGGATGAATGCGTGGAAGGGAACAGATAGATGAGAGAGTTGGCAGGAGCCTCAGGGTGGTCAGGGAGGCCTCTTTGAGAAGGTGGGACCTGAAGAAGGTGAGCTAAGAGGTTTGCAGCAGAGGACAAATGGTGCAGAGTCGGTGAGGCGAGAAAGACCTTAGGGTGTTCAAGACGAGCAGGGAGCGGTGTGTAGCTGCAGCAGAAAAGGCCGGAGCCAAGGTGGGAGGGGAGGGCGGGACCCCGATCCTGGAAGGCCTGAGTGCCAAGTTAGAGAGTCTGGGTTTTACTCTCAGGTGATGGGGAGCCATCAGTGGGCCTAGGCCGAGCAGCGATGAGATCTGATGTCTGTTGGGAAGACGTTGCCATATTGCCATTTTTGAATGTTTATTTTTGAGAGAGAGAGAGAGAGAGAGAGAGAGACAGAGTGTGAGCAGGGGAGGAGCAGAGAGAGAGAGAGGAAGACACAGAATCTGAAGCAGGCTCCAGGCTCTGAGCTGTCAGCACTGAGCCTCACGTGGGACTCGAACCCATGAGATTGTGACCTGAGCCAAAGTTGGGATGTGAGCGACTGAATCCCAACGCTGAAGATTCTGTCTCCTCCCCTTCCCTCCACTCCCCCAGCCCTGTTCCTGGCTTCAAATCCCAGATTCAGATCCTGGCTCTGCCACTTACCAGCTGTGTGACCTCTGGCAAGTGGCCCCACCTCTCTGTGCCTCAGTTTTCTCAACTGTAAAAGGAGCATAATAGGAGTACCTCAGGGCGAGTGTGAGGATTAAATGAGTCAACAGATACAAAGAGCTCAGAACAGTGTCAGGTACAAAGAAACCACTCAGAACATTTCTTATTATATTATGAAAACTGTTACTGGTTTTTTTGTTTGTTTGTTTGTTTGTTTGTTTTTCTTTTATGACGGTTATTGCCTAACGGAGCCCTCCCTCTTCATCCTTCCCACCCTCAGTAGAGGGCCAGGCAGGGACCCAGCAGGAAATTGTGGGGAACCATGGTCTTTAGGCTGGCCTCCCTCATTCCCCTAAAATCAGGCTCCAGGGCCTGGAGGAGGCCTCAGAGCTGACT